CATAACATAACTATTGCCAATCAATATTCCCCGAATTGCGATTTCCTTGTAGACTCATGAATCAACATATTCCCCTTCCTTCATTAAGCTTGGATAGACAATACTGTTTAACTATGTTTAACCATAAATCTGTTGACACTTCGGTTCTACTGCCGAACAGAATTGAAGGAAATTAATTTTCATTATTTTACTTGACATCGCTTGATAAACTTTAGTTTTATAGCTCTTGTCAAACTTATCTGCACATCTTTGTCATCGTTAATAATAATCATTTTTAGGTAATTGACGGTCATTCGATTTGCAATTTGAAAAGATTCAGAGCGAGAAAGAATTTCGCATAAAAAGATCCCTCCTAAGTATTTATATTGCATTTATGATTTAATTAAAAAAAAAATTATTCTTAAAAAGCTAAAGATTAAAAACAGAAGTGTTTTTTAATAGGATGGCACCATTGCTGCTTGATTTGGAATTACATGTTCTTCATGGACTATTTGCTGGATGCATATGTACTTGTCGTCCAATGCTTTCTCTAAAATGCACATAGCAATCGGACGTGGAAAGTTCTTTTTGAAGAATCTCGTTTCATTGGCAAAGGGATTTTTTCGAATAGCATAGATCGCATTTTTCCAACTTAGGTAAGCACGGAGTGTGATTGATTGTCGAAATGCGTCTCTTTCTCTTGGCTCTTTGTCTCGGCAACCACTGCTACACCGCACCTTAATAAATTGCAATTTTAACCGTTTGAGTCCCAGACGGTATTGAAAGAACACTGTCGAAGAATCCCAAACAGCGGCGTCGCGCTTTCCCTATATATGTACGAAAATACGCAAACAGCGCGATAGCGCTTGTTTCATTTTATGTTGAGAATAACCATTTTTTCATCGCTCCGTCTCCGCAGTTTATTGCAGTTTGCGAAGTGATCGGACGTATTCTTCCGTATTCTTCAGTTAATAATTCTTTTCATTATTAATAATTGTGTGTTTTAAAATGATTAGACGATGCAACGCACAAAGTAAGTGAAAAATTAATCTCGATTTATTATTTAACTTTTCTAAATTTCGTCCATCCCTAAATAGGTATAATGAATCGAAAAAGAAAATCTGTAAGCACATTATTATAGTACTATTTCACCTATTGTAAAATGTACTATTTACGTTAAAAAGAGCTGTGTGATCTACTTGCGTCAGTAAGTCTGAGCGCTCGACTTCGACAATAAGTAACACACCGTTAGTTGTCCACAATGCTCGACGTAAAATCTGAACAGCGCGATAACGCTGCTTGGGAGTCAAACGGTTAAAAAAATGTTCTTTCCGGTCATTTACCATTGAACGTTAGTGCTCAAATATCTCTCATTTCTTCCGTCTAGAAAGTGAGATCATAACATGAATACCAATGAGGGGAAAATACAGAGATATTTTAGTTTTCATATTTCTGTTGGACATGGGCACATATATTGATATAAATGTATATGTGATATAAATAAATATATATGTGCTCTAGAGAATTTAAATATGCTTTACATGTTTTATTGCTAATAATGGCTTTTTCTTATAAAGTTATTATAATTATTTTTTATCATCTATTAATTATATTTATTTCCAGTCATTGCTTTCTTAACGCATTCCATGCAAAATGCAAAAGAAAACTTTTTTTTGACTGTCTTTTCTTTATTGACGGCTCACTCCATCTATTTTTTTTTGCTTCTGAGTTTTAGATTTTTTCTTAATATACTTTTAGGCTTTAATTAATTCTTATCTGATTAATATATCTTTTTGCTGCACTAAATAAAAAGTACATTACATGGGTGAAGGCACAATTTTATTTGCTTTAAGTGAAGAGTGTAGAGAGATGGGTCGTGTCTGTTCTCCCTAAAAAAGACATAACCCAGAAATGAAAACTCTAAGAATAATTACAAAGGACATTATAGTTCGCATAGGTTTTTCTATCGTTTAAAGAGTCTGTGCTCTGTCCATAAAGTTAGGGTAATGCCGATTAGTTACTTTGGAGCCGTTTGCATGTATAAACCGCCATATAGTAGAACATGCTTGAGCATCTATTATTATTAAAAACAGATTTGATGTCTTAGCTGCCAAAGAAACTTATGGCAGCTGATACGAGTGTATTGAACACGTTAACCGCTATTCCCAGTAAGCAGATGAGAGGTAAAAGTACCCAAATAATCTGAAAAGTATTCTCAGCCAAGGTAGTCCGTTGGATGTTTGTAAAAAACTTCGCTTGCTAAAGGAACATCTCGATGCGTCATTAGTAAACTTTGATTTAACAGGTTTAACGTATTTTAAGCCGTTGTAAAGGTTTACGAAAACTTTTGATCTGAAGATCATCTGACACCGTTTGTCAATTTAGAGCTACCCGGCCTGTTAATAGCGGGAAATATAACCAAAGTTTGTCAACACACTAGCTGCGTACGTAACCTTTAACATATACGTCGAAACAATCACAACCGTTACATTTTTTATGGTAGTCAAGTTTGAATTGAGTTTTCTAGTAGTTAATGGGCGTTTTAGTTCACGGTCCCTGACCGTGATATAAAAGATTTACACTCGCATTAGCTCGTTCGGCTAGATGAAGGATGTTGCAGGTGAGCTAAGAGAAGTATACAAAGAAATTGTAGGTTATTCTTGTAAGTGTAAATGTTCTGTGCATCCATACGGCGATTTCACGCAACGGTAACTACAAAGAAGATTTGCCATATTTATGAAGATGTGTTGACGGTCAGCAAGTGTCAACGTTGGTTCGGAAATTTGTCGATGGTAGTTATAATCTCTGCGACAGGCCCCGAATTAAAGGATATGGTGAATTTGATAATGCCATTTTACAATCTCTAGTGGAAGCTGATCAAAAATTAATAACATGAGAATTATTGAGAAGCCTTGGATCCGCAGGGTGAATCTTACTAAAAAACCTACATGAAATTAGAAAGGCTTATGGGCAAGTAGTATGGACACCCTACATTCGTCGATCAATTTGCACTTCAGCGCTATTCAGATTTTGTAGAGAACCATTTTTTGGCGGAATCACTGTCAGAGATGAAAAATGGAATCTATATAATAACGTAAAGCGTTCCAAGCAATGGCTTTCTGCAAATCAAAACACAATCTGAAGGCCTAAGCTTAGCTTGTTAAGGAGGTGAGGTACCTTAAGTCATATTTCCTCACACGAATTGTCCTTGATAGTCTTGTGCCAATAATAACATAATGAGAAATAAGAAACGGAAACTTCAATTTACTACAAACTTTTTTTTTTGATTCTAAAATAATTGATTAGTTGTGGGTCCCTCGATTAGTATGCGTTTGTTATCCCTTATGAAAAATTGAAGAAGAACTAAAACTTGCTTGGACTAGATTTAATTGGTCAAGCACCCTGCGTTGATTTAACCATTATTTGAAAATATATAACTTGTAAACTGCAGTCCGCAATCTTATTAAATGTTGACATATTTCGCTTGAAGGTAGCTACTATCTAAAAATCACATGAACTTGTGAATGGTGGCAATATCTATGTGAAATCCTACGATATTATTGAGTAATGCATATAGTAAGGCACAAAAATCCCATAATGCATTTACTATCTGGGGGTCAATGTGAAGTTTATAAAGTATTACGTTAAAGTAGGTAATTGGCGGACTGATAATAAATTCGTCGGAATAAATTAGTTTACAATTTTGCGCTGATCAGGAATACATATCCTATCTAGGGAATAGGATGAATACTACCGGCTGTTACAACAGGCATAAATGGCCGATCTTCGATGTTCGTCATACGAATGATCAAAATCGTAATTTTAAGAAATTCATGCCGATAAAGTCGAGCCTTTGATAAACGTGGTGGTAATTGAGGAAACGTTTTGCTTCTCTGCTCTTCTTCAAGATTCGCCTAAATTTTCATACTTCTTTTTAATAAAACAAGTTACAATTACATTCTTTTTTTATTCATTAAATCGTCTACTAAATAATTTCGGAACTTATACAAAAAATATAAAAAATTTTTATAAAATAGTATTGCACTTGATTTTCAAAATACGGTTAGTTAATGAACAAACAATCCTAATAGTATTATAAGAAATTTTAATATGAAAAGAAATTGTTTGAAAAAAATATAATAATAACAATAATGATGAAGAAAAAAAAAAAAAAAAAATTAATTTTTGTTGTTTGTAAATAAAAAATTGATAATATTTAATAATTCTTTGTTAAACTAGGTTTAATATTGCACCCGAGCTTACACGATAAGTGAACTTTAATTATGCACGCTTATTGGCGAACGTGCGCGTACGCAATGAAAATTTACAAAAAAAAAAAAAAAGGTGAATATTAAATTAAAACAAATTAAAAATAAAATTACATGTAATAGAACCGAAGCACTCGCTGGAAGAAGAAATGTAAAATATAAAGCTGTAAAGCTTTCCATAAAAAATATTGTATAATGAAAGGGGGGAACAAATACACATAGAACACATATATGTATATATATATATATATATATATATATATATATATATATATATATAT